AGTCAGGGGGCTGTCGGATTCCGTCTGACAGGAGTGGCTCCGCTGCCTCGGAGAGGTGAGGTGGGTGAGTGTGGAGTCGCTCTGACGCGTGGGGGGCCGGAGGTGGTTTCCTGCGCGTTTCGCCCGCCGAGCTCGGCCCGAGCTGAGGCGACACCGCGCTGGGCGGGTGAGTTGCCGGTTTGGACGCCGGGAAGGAGGGAGGCGGTCGAGCCGCGGTGCCCTCGGTCTGCGGTTCCAGGTCCGGGCGCTTTCGCCAGATCGGAAGCCCCTTACCCTTCACCGCCAGTCGTTTCCTCCGCGCTGGACGTCCACGGTGCGCCCTTGGGAGACCGGCTCCGTTGGGCTTTGCGGGGGAGTGACCATCGCGGTGGTTTCCAGTCCTTACCTTCCTGTCTCACCTCCTGGGGCAGCGCAACCCCATCTGGTGAGTCCTTCCCCAGGTAGCCGCCTGCAGCCAGAAGAGCTCGGTGTGGTTTTATTTGTGGTAAATAAACTAATGTTGGGGCAAATATCTGAAAGGCAGTGCGCTTTTATTTCATCGGGCAAGAACGTGAAGTTGTTGCTCGTGCTGAAGCTGGCTTATTGGCGTTGCAGGCCCCGAGGACACGCCTTCGTGTCATCATCTAGCTCTTCGCTGGCACTTGGTTGGTTTTGTTCATTCTCCCCCGAGGATTTGTTCCCGTTGACTTTTAGGGAGAGTGGGAGAGAGAGGGAAAGACAGAGAGAAACAAGATGTGAGAGGAACACAGCTATTGGTTGCCTCCTGGTCGCAGGGGAGGAGCCTGCCCTTGACCGGAATCCAACCGAACCCGGGACCCTTTGGTCTGCAGGCCAGCGCTCTATCCGCTGAGCTAAACCGGCGAGGGCCTCGCTGGCTCTCGAGTTAGCACTGGGAGACTTGAGAGCACTTTTAATCCAAACCCTCAATTAACTGAAGCCCTTATGGCTCCTACCCACCACCCACCGCTTTTGAGGGTTTTCTTGAGAGTCACGTTTTTAAAAAATATATATTTTATTGATTTTTTTTTTACAGAGAGGAAGGGAGAGGGATAGAGAGTTAGAAACATTGATGAGAGAGAAACATTGATCAGCTGCCTCCTGCACACCCCCCACTGGGGATGTGCCCGAAACCAAGGTACAAGCCCTTGACCGGAATCTAACCCGGGACCCTTCACTCCGCAGGCCGCGCTCTATCCACTGAGCCAAACCGGTCAGTGTGAGAGTCACGTTTTGTTTTGTTTTCCCTCCCACGGATCTAGACAACCTAAACATTAAACAGCCCAGCCTCAAATCCCGGGGATAAGTAAAGCTTGGATCAATTGAAATTCTATTTGGTTTTTTATCTTAATTAAATTTCTTGCGGTAACATTGGTAAATAATATCCTATTTAAATTTCATTCTCATGAGCAATGCTAAATATGTTTACTTGTGGGAGAACATAAAAATAGAATGGCACATTTGCCTTGCCTTAGGATTCTTACTGCCCATCTGGTTAGGTATGGGCCATCTTTCTGATGATTTCTGTGATCCCTATAGAAACTCAGACATGAATTTTAATTAGCGGAATTTATTCTAAATCATCCCTTGGATTTGAGATTTTGACAGCAGTTTGCCATTCCCAGACCCATGGAAAGTCGTATTTAATAGGGATACTCTCTAAGACAGCAGTAGCCTGAAAGGTAAAACATCTCTGTTTCTTGCATCCAAGCAATAATTTCATTCTAATTTTGTTGGGATGAAGGTAGTATTATAAATATTTGCATATTTGGAGGGATTTTGGGGAAAAGACAAATGAATGAAGCAGCCATTTTCCAATATCACATCTCTTTGTCAAAGACTGTGTCATATACATTAAAATACAGGAAGAAAAATAAGTTTGGGGATGTCAAATAAGAGGGAGATGTTGGGTTCAAAGTTTTAGCATGATGTCACAGATGCCCCGAATCAGACAACAGGTTTTAGGAGCCTTGAGGCAAAGAGCAAAGAGATGGGTTTGGGCTGGGACAGGTAGAGGACAGGAATACTGACTCTGTTTGGTTGAAGAAGACAGAGGTGAGGTCCACCTACAGAATCCTGCGAGGGTTGGCTGCCAGGATCTGGGTGAAGAGGAAAAGAAGTGAACTCTTTGTCCCCTGGTTTTTCAAGAATTAGGCCTGTGCAGCCTAAGCCAGACCTTTTCTTAGATGCAGAGGGCTCTCTGAAAATGTGGGTTATTGAGTGAATCCATAATTGTCCTGGAAAACCCAGCTGATACAGATTGCAGGGTTTTTTTAAAATATTTTTTTTTATTGATTTCAAAGAGGAAGGGAGAGAGAGATAGAAACATCAGTGATGAGAGAATCATTGATCAGCTGCCTCCTGCACGCCTCCTACTGGGGATGGAGACCGCAACACGGGGCATGTGCCCTTGATGGGAATCAAAACCCGGACCCTTCAGTTCGCAGGCCTACGCTCTATCCACAGAGCCAAACCGGCCAGGACCAGATTGCAGTTCTTATAGACATTAGACAACATTTATAGTAGTTACTTTTCATTCGTCAGCGAATCTGGGACAAGAATACATTGGATAGCATCCTCAAATGCCTACTCTAGATTTTGCATTTTTTAAAAATTAGCTCTTTTTTTTCTCTTCCTTTAAATAATCTCGGGTATTTTATCCTGGGAGAAATAAGAGCTAGGCTTCCAGTAACCCCTTAACCGTGACCCTGTCTTTTATTCCTTTTTTCAGTCAAGCTCCTGAAAGCTTAAGCCTATAATCAGTGTAGATTTCTACTTCCTTACCTTCCAATTACTTCTCTATTAATTGTAATCCTCCTTCAATCTGTACTTCTCTAAAATAATCACCTCCTAATGGCTAAACCCAATTAATTTTCTCTTCCTGGTTCTGTCACTGTACTATTCAACACTGATGACCATTCACTTTTTATCCTCGCCTTCTGTGATCTCTTCTGGTTCTTATCTGTGTGTGTCTTTATCAGTGTACTAGAGGCCCAGTGCACAAAAATTTGTGCACTTGGGGTTGGGGGGTCCCTCAGCCCAACCTGTGCCCTCTTGCAGTCTGGGACCCCTCGGGGGATGACCACCTGCTGGCTTAGGCCCACTCCCTGGGGGATTGGGCCTAAGCTGGCAGTCAGACATCCGTCTGGCAGCTCGGGAGCCCTCGGGGGATGTCCACTTGCCAGCGGGGAGCAGGCCTAAGCTGCAGTCGGACATCCTTAGTGCTGCTGAGGAGGCGGGAGAGGCTCCCACCACCACCACTGTACTGGCAGCCGTCAGCCTGGCTTGTGGCTGAGCAGAGCTCCCCCTGTGGGAGCACACTGACCACCAGGGGGCAGCTCCTGCATTGAGCGTCTGCCCCCTGGTGGTTAGTGTGTGTCATAGTGACCAGTCATTCCCAGTCGTTCTGCTGTTAGAGTCAATTTGCATGTTGCCCTTTTATTATATAGGATGTCCTCCTGTCCCTTCTTTATCTTCTACTGTTGATGTTCTCCAGGATTCTGTTCTTTGGTATTCTTCTTATTCCTACTCCTGAGGAATCCATTCATTCTCACAGCATTAACCGCCAACAAATTTGCTGTTGTCCCCATATTCATCTTCAAACCAGTTCTCAGTCCCAAATAGTTAGCTTTGAACTTACTCTCCCAAGTGGATGTATGTACTTTTTTTTTTTTCCATTATTTCAGAGAGGAAGGGAGAGGGAGCGCCAGAGAATCATTGATCAGCTGCCTCCTGCAGGCCCATTACTGGGCATCGAGCCCGCAATTTGGGCATGACCAGAATCGAAACCAGGACCCTTCAGTCCACAGGCCAACACTCTATCTATTGAGCCAAACCAGCTAGGGCAGGATGTATGTGCTTTAGCTAACTTCAAGTGTATATCTTCACCCATCCTTCTTTCTGTAGTTCCTATGGCACCATAACCTATCCAATCATTTAGCCAGAAGCATGGGAGTTATCCTTTATTTCCTTTTCTCCTCCCAACATCTAGTCAGTGATTAATGCCTCCTGAAATTCTTCTACAACTACTCTCACAGTCCCTGCCTCAGATTAAGCCCTCAGCATGTTACCTGCATTATTGCAGTAATCTGTGTTTAGTCTAATCTCACTAGTCTATCTCTACCCTCTTAGAAGAGTGATCTTTCTAAATAGTAAATTTGCTCTTGAGACTTCCCTGCTTAAACTACCTATGATTCCCCATTGCTTACCAGAGAAAGTGCAAAGTTGTCTGGAATTCGAAGTTTTTCACAACTTGACCACTGTCTACTTTTCCAATTTCATCTCTTCATATTCACTTCTCCCTTTATATTTACAATGTATCTGTTTCTTCTACTAGACTAAGAGCCCTCTGGGGGCAGAGTCCATGATATATTGTTCATCTTTGTATCCCATGATTCTGGTTAGCACAGTACCTGTGTTATAATAATCAAGAAATACTCAGTTGAATGTCTAGAACAGGGGTGGGCAAACTTTTTGACTCGAGGGCCACAATGGGTTCTTAAACTGGACCGGAGGGCCGGAACAAAAGCATGGATGGAGTGTTTGTGTGAACTAATATAAATTCAAAGTAAACATCATTACATAAAAGGGTACGGTCTTTTTTTTTTTTTTAGTTTTATTCATTTCAAACGGGCCGGATCATCCGGCCCGCAGGCCGTAGTTTGCCCACGGCTGGTCTAGAATATCCTGTCTGAAATTGTTTACTTCTTGGTTTTTCTACTGATAACATAGTGTTACTTTTTTAAAAAAAAATTCTAATAGAAACATTAAAAACTGTACAGAATTCCAGAATGACTGATACTCCTGAAGCTGTTCCAAATTTTGAAGAGATGTTTGCCAGTAGATTCACAAACGATGACAAAGAATACCAGGAGTACCTGAAGCGCCCTCCTGCGACCCCTCCAATTGTTGAGGACTGGAATAGCAGAGCTGGTGGGAGCCAAAGAAATAGAGGCAATTGGTATGTATTACTTCAGAAGAGTGAATTGCAGATGGTTGATCCGGAAGAGAATAGCTTTAATCTGCTAGTCCAGAAGACCACTGAGGGCAGGGACCAGTGGTGTTTTTTTAAAAATATATATACTTTGATTTCAGAGAGGGAGGGAGGGAGAGAGAGAGAAATATCAACGATAGAGACAAAATCATTGATTGGCTGCCTCCTGCATGCTCCACACTGGGGATCAAGCCTGCAACTGGGGCATATGCCCTGACCTGGAATTGAACTGTGACCTCTTGGTTCATAGGTCAACGCTCAACCACTGAACCATGCCAGCTGAGCAGACCAATGTTTTTGTTCAGTATGATATACCTAGTGCCTGGCACTAATTAAGTGGCTGGTAAATATTTGCTTTAATATTTTATCAGCCCATGTATTTTTTCCTTAGTGTTCAATTGTGTGTCCCTATGTGTGTTAATGTTGTTTTTTAAAACATTCCTTCTGTGGACTAATATTTTATATGCAAATATACTTTAGAAACCTAGAGTCTTATACAAATCTTTGTATACATTCCATAAAAAGGTAATGTTTCTGGGTTTCATTTTAGAAGTTTA